TATATATATGTATATATATATGTATTTCAGAATATGAATAAATGCTGGCAGTCTGTGACTGGAATAGTGTTTGAGCTCCCAACCCCAATAACTCTGTGTGAGTGAGAGCCTGTTATTAAAGGGGGTTGGGCTACTCTGTCTGCTGATATCTCTGTGAGTGAGAGAGAGGAAATGGTCAAGGCTCTCCATATATTTCAAAAGAGATTAGAAGGGTGGTCAATGTGACATCTTGACCTACGTGTACCCTGAACATGAGAGAGAAAGGTTTAGAGGCTAGTAGAGACTCTGTATGAATGGAGAAGGGATGTCACATTTCCAAACAAACAAGGCTGCATTGATATTCACTTCTGAAAAGGGAATAAGCTTTAGTATGTTTTACATCTAGATTTAAACGTTATTCTCATGTTCTGCTTTTTCGTCTTTTAAAAGAACAGATGTCATAACATAACTTCACAGTGCAATAACTGAACCGGGGAAGGCCTCCACAAGCCCAGGCAACCGTGTGGCCTTGCTCGGCCTGCAGAACCAAGAGGGAATCACGGCACTGGCGGAGGGTGGCTTGGCCCACAGGCCCAAGAGCCAGCAAGCCACGATGAATGGGAGGCGGAGGCAGCGGCTAGCACACCCTGCAGGCCCAATACTGGATCACGGTGACACCGCCTTCCTCGGGCCCCAGGCCATGCCAGCACTCCCTGACTCGCCGCCACTCCAAAAACACAGGGAGGCCTCTGGGATGGCCACCTACCATGCCCCATGTCCTTCCCCAGTGCGCCCCACCCCAGAGTCTGCAGCCGCGGCGAGGGCCGGGGGCCATCTGGCCTCTCCTTCCCCGCTGCACCGTGTGTCGCCAGCCTGTCTCCCCCCCCCCACGCCTTCTCAAGTCCTTGGGAGGGCCGAGGGGCGGCCTGAGGAATCTTCTTCGCCACCGCGTGAGACCACCTTGGCCCCCCACCTCCCGCCGCCTCCGATCACGCCCCCACCGCTCCAAACACGGTCTCAGTTGCCTGCATACACACACACCGCCCGAAAGCCTGCCTGCTCACACCGCCCAAATGCCTCCATTCCTGCCTGTGGACCAACTCTCCAGGGATGCTTCGCCACCCATCCTTCGCTACTCTCCCTGCTCCCGGTAACTGCTGCTACTGCTGGCTGCAGCCGCTGGGGCCGGCATGGGGGGGCCCGAGGAGGCCGACCTTGATCGCGGAGTCAGAGAGCCTCCCCCCATCTCCTTGCCTTCCCTCTGAGCTTCCCTCCTTCTCTTTCTGTCCTTCCTTCCCTCCCCACGGTCGGCCTGCTCTCCCACTGCCTCCTGCTAGCGCTGGTTGTCTTTCTTTCCACAACAGGCCTTTCCCCCTAGTCCTATATAAACCAATAAATTGCATTAGAGTTGCTATGTGAAATGTGCTCCTGGAAGAGTTAAGAGCACCAAATGAGAACTGTGCTGCTATTGCTGCTGCCTGGGCTGAACAGACGCTAATAAGGGAGAAGCAAAGGTGTAGAAGGGAAATGCTGCCAAAAGAACATGTAATTACTTTATTTGAACTTCTTCCCAGAAGTACCCCAATCACATGTCTGGCATGAGCTTCTATTCCATCTTATCCAAGGCAGCAGCAAGCATTTCCCTGCACGGCTCAATCACACACAACCTTACCTATCAGGTGATCTAAGGAGCACGCCCACAGTAGGAAATACATGGCTGGGAAAGTCACAATTAATTGTAAGAGACATCTAGAAAGGCCCCTTGCTTCGGTCAGCAAATGCAACTCAAGCTAGGTGCAAGCAACACATACTCAAAATATGCCTTTCCTACTTTTACCTTTACCTTTACCTCTTCCCTACTGTGAGATACTTCTCCATCCCTGACAAACATCACACTACTGTTATCTGATTGCAGCTTGTATATGTATTACACAAAGGAGAATATGTGGTTTGGCTTACAGTACTGTATAGGTTTATCACATAGAAATATCTTTTACATAATTTTAAATTATTCAAATGCCTTCAAATTCTTCCACTTGTACTGACCTAGTGTTCAACTCTGTCTTGTTAACATACTTCCCGGAAAAGGGACCTTGGAGGTCCTCTAGTCCAACCCCCTGCACTCTGCAGGAGTATACGGAAAGATAGCCCTACATACCTACAACATACCCGAAAGATGGTCGTCCAGCCTCCGCTTGAAAACGTCCAGTGAAGGAGCATCCACCACCTCCCGAGGCAGACTGTTCCACTGCTCAACCACTCTTACAGTTAGGAAGTTTCTCCTGATATTTAGCCGGTAACGACTCCCTTGTAATTTCCACCCATTAGATCTAGTCTTGCAATCCGGAGCAAGAGAGAATAGATCTGCTCCATCTTCTAATTGACAGCCCTTCAAATACTTGAAGACTGCAATCATGTCCCCTCTAAGCCTTCTCTTTCCCAGGCTAAACATACCCAACTCTTTCAGCCTTTCCTCATAAGATCAGTTCACCCAGAGAAAATGGCTGCTTTGAAGGGTGGGGTTTATGGCATTATACCCTGCTGAGGTCACTTCCAAACTCAAACCTCATCCTCCCAAGGCTCCAGCCCCAAATCTCCATGAATTTCCCAACATGGAGCTGGCAACCCTAAGAGAAACTGATCTCTGTATTTGGGCAATCCATTGTGATTCCTGGAGAGAGGCTGCTGCCACTGCAACTGTGGGGAGGGGGGGAGAAAGTAGGTGGGAGGCCAGGAGAGTGACGAGGCAGAAAGAGTGATGGGGTGGGGGCAGAAAGGAAGTGACTGGCATGGAGGGAAGAGAGAGAGAAAGAAAAGGGGTAGCAGGAAGGAGAACGAGTGTGAGAGAAGTAGAGGGAGAGGGGAAGAAGCAGAGGTGGGGGGAAATGGGATAAACACTCCCACAAGTTTCTTGCGGGTCCCCACTTGTGTAATACTAATGGTTTGTAGGACTGCAAACACAATTTGTTAGGCTGACACTCATATATAGCAACATTTTATAGTTTTAAAAGACAATGTATTAAGTTTGTATTTATAATACATACCATTATTTACCAACTGATTGCTTGACTGATTACTCTTCCCATGTTTTTCTTTTTTAATAGTCTTGGAATCTAAAAAGATATAAGACACAATTTTTATAGTATAAGAACATTTCTGTTGAAAACTGTTAATAAAACAGACTTTCATTCAGATTATTTGGAACATTGGTTCCCTTTTCTTGAATATATGGAAAGATATAGTAAGCTTAAAAAGACACTTCCTGATCATTTGAAGGTTATAGCTATATATTGAATAGCTGTTTGGTTTTATCACTCTTGTGTTTTTTGTGTTTGTAATTATGTTGTTATTGTTGTGGTTTCCTAATAGTATCTGCTATTGTAAATTGTCATTATATTGTATAAAGGAGGGAGGAGAAAACCTGTTAATAGGATTAAATTAATAAAACTGGTGGTTAAGTTTAAGCACACACATGAAATGATAAAAATACTAAGGCTGCAATCCTAAACACATTTACCTAGAAGTAAAAAGCCCACAGATGATACCAGGAGTTACTTCTAAGTAAGCATGTTTAAGGGCATGATACACAAGCCATGTACTGAATGCAATCTGGAGGAACTGGGAGAGGTATACTATGAAAGGAAGGTACAAAAAAATCTGAACATATTTAGATATTAATAAAAAGGTATTCGTTTAAATTGTAAAATATATTCCCTTATAACAAAAAGTCTTTCCTTTCCCATAGTTACAGATTGTAACAGCAGCTAACATCACTGCATATACATGCAAACATGAAGGACAGATTGAACAATGGCTGAGAACTAACAAGAGTTCGTGCCATCTTGCCTCCTCTTGGGAATCTGTTGTACTTGGACTGGTTACTAGCCGTTCTTACCTCTGGCCCAAACCACAGATCTTCCAAATTTTGAATTGCTTAGATAATTTTCTGTAGACTTCTGAAAGACAACTGTAATGTATTCTTTCTAAAGCTCTTAAATTATATTCATTGGCAAAGCCATGTATCCTACCCAGTGTTCAGAGTAGGGTTGCCAGGTCCCCCTGTCACGCTGGCGAGGTGATCTGGGGGCCGTTCTAGGACATCCCCAATGTGATGACGGCACCCGGGAGTGGCATCATCATGTTGGCGGCATTGCGCAGTGATGCTCTGGTTTGAGAGCAAAGCTCTGTGGTTTTAGGCCAAATTTACCATAGAGTTTTGCCCTCAAACCAGAGTGTCCCCGCGACATCCCTGATGTCACTTCTGGGTGACATCATTGCAGTAAGGATGTTGTTTGGGGACATGGCTGTTTGGGAGCAGGGTTTCCCCTGCCAGTCAGCTGGCCGGTGGCAGGCTGAAGCCCCGAAAACCTGGGGACTGGCAACCCTAGTTCAGAGTTGTTACACCTGTAAACTGTACATATTAACAGTAGCATTAGGCATTCACGCTCAGGTATCTTCAGGAACATTATGCTCAATTATATGTTGGGCATTTCCAAGCCCAGACATAATGGGTTAGAAATCCAATTATAGCAATATAATGAGCACTTGGGCTTGCTGTACTCATTGCAGCAAAAGCAAATACAAAGGATTCAGTAAGTACCTGATTTAACTAGATGAAGAAGCCACAGGGCTTTTTAAAAAAACCTCATGTACACTACATAATTGTGTCTTCCCACAACAATTCCACAGTGCAGATGTGGTTGGTTGCATTTTTAATGTTTCCAACATAGATGTAACAAGCAGCAGTAAATACATGCTAGAATTCTAACATGCTTTTGAGTCCACTGAAACATGAAAACACAACTCTGAGCAAAGTTTCTTTATTTTCACTAAACAGAATTCCATCTAACCAGCCTCCAATAAAAAACATTACTGGGTACAATTTTATCCCAATAAATATGGCTCTAACTGTGGCCCAGGGGACAAATAGGCAATGGCTGCGGTCACACGCAACATTAGCCACGCAAGAGATACGGAAGACAAGCGGAGTTGCCGGTCGCGATCTCACCAGCACATCTGGGAAGCGTAGTGCTTCCGTGGCACAACTGAGGCTTCCTGCCGAAAAAGCGCAGCAAAAAACTAGTACCTTGGAGGTACTAGTTTCCAGAAACTGCGGGGCAAGGGCGGGCGTCTGATCGCGTTTCCGGTGGTATCCGGCGCCCGCCCATGTCCCCTTGCGGAAAAGGGTTTTTTTTCCCCCACGTCTCCGTGGATGCGCACACGCACCCAACGGAGCATGCGCATTCGTAGTGTACACAAAAAAAGAAAACCAGTTAGCCGCGCCGCGCGCTTCTTCATTGCGCGCAGGCGTGTGTTGTGATCGGCACCTCTCCCTTGCCATGGAACCTCCACAGTACCTCCACAGAACCTCCACAGTAGGTCTGATCGCTTTACTGCATGTTAGTTTGCCCCGGGGCAAACAGCCACACTTCTCCTCTGCAGTTTCCTGCCCGTGTGACAGGGGCCAATGTTAAGATCTTAGGTGGGAAATGATTCCCTACCTATAATGGGCCACAACTGAGGTAAAGAAAAAAAAACCAGTAAGATATCTTACACGAATCTATTATCTTAGCCTGAAACTAATAACTTTATAAAAATTCCTTCTCACTTTCTTATGAAGGTGCTTAGAAACCACCTGAGCTCTCTTTCAAAGCTTAGTACTTCAATAGCTTCTAAAGTTGGATTTAGAAGAACTACGGTAGAGACTGTTCATTTATTTCAAGTCAAGTCAAATACCTTTAATGGCATAGCAGTAAGATACATATATGTACAATAACACGGCATGGATATATAAGACATTATAAGCGATATGAATTAATTCTTTACTTGTTCATTTATTATTTATGCCAGGATTCAACCCACGGTGATAACATAAGTGGCCTCATTCTCCTCCTCTCCTTATTTTAAGGAAAGACATGACCAGTTAGACCCTATATTGGCCTGAATGTGGACTCTTCCTGACCCTGAGACGTAAAAATGCTAGCAATTCCTAACAAATGTGAGACACCCCCCCCCCCCATCAGTTGTATAATTGTACCAGAGCTGTATGGAAGGGTCAGAGAAAGGAGTGCATGGCCTCACTTCCAAGGTTGGAATCCTAAATCAATAATAAACCATTAGATATAAACTTAAGGCAGTATAAACAGTTTTGTTTGTATTGTTCCAGTTACAGAAATACTCCCATCTACAACTAGCTGAGCAATATATTTTAACTTGAGATAATTTACAACCAACCCACAATCCAGTCAAACAGGATGCCTTAAACTTGGTTTGGCCAATCATAAGATCCGTATGCTGAGGCATACCCAACAGAAGAACCACAAGCTGCCTACCTCTTACTTGCCTATCCCTTCTTCTAGGCCGTGGACCTATGGTTAACGTAAGGAATATTACATGACCCTTCCTTCATGTTATCAGCATCTCCAGGCAGCCATGCCTACCAGGCTGTTAGGATCTAAGGGTTGGGGGTTCCCCTAGACATTCCACATTGTCCTGATGTTAAAAAAAATATTTAAGTTTACCTTTAGCTGCTGTTTTCCCCATGGTACAATGTTTGATCTGCCTTTTCACAACAAAAACATAAACGCTGTATGAATACTTTGCTCTTCTGTTTAGTATAAGTTTCCTGTGGAGCAGTAATACAGCATATTAGGTCAAATACAAACATTTTATAAAGAACTACAGAAATTACTGGGGGGACATTACAAAGTTACACTAAAACTAGGACAACCCCCCCCCCTACAAGTTTTTAAATCCTTCTAAAGATGAAAAAGAAAACAGAATTGCACTTACCCGTAACTGTTGTTCATCAAATGATCTACATCTGGGATCTGCCTAGGCCTGCCATGGCAGACTCTTCCAAAGCATTCAAAAGCCCTAGGGGGCACTCCCCCTCCCACTGGCCTTAATATTAAAATAATCATCTGATAGGAGGGGAGAGCACCTGTATCCTCAATGCTCACATTGCCATTGCCAGAGAAATTATAATACCACTGGGACACAGCTTGTAGCGAATATCCAGGTTCAGTCCTGTCTAAATAAAACAATAGTGCTCTACACGCATTCATTGTGTGTAGTGCTCTTTCTTTTGTCATCCTCAGAGTGAGAGAAAAATACAGGCAACACTATGGGTTGGTCGATGAGAAAAGAGACCACCTTGGGACAAAGACAACCTAGTCCTAAGGATCAACTTATCAGGATACAAATTTATAAAAGGAGGGTCATGGCAGTGGGCACTCACTCATCTAGCAGAAGAGATAGCTACTAAAAATGCAACCTCAACAGACATATGAGCTAAGGAGCAAGCAGCTAAGGGTTCAAATGGCTTAGCCATGGTTTGGAGAGAATCAGAGCCTCCACTGCGGGGCTGGGGGGAATCAGTGGTGGGAATACATTGTATAGACCCTTGAGGAAATGCTCTGAGTCGGGGTATGAAAATAGAGATTTGCTGTTAATCCCCCATGAGATGTGGATATAGCCACCAAATGAGCTTTGGGAGAGACTACAAGATGAGGATTGTAGACATTTTTCTGTAGCCCAGTAGGCAAACCTAATCCATTTTGCAGAACATGGTTTTCATGGGGGGGGGGGGTCTTGGCCTCTCTCATAATGTCCAGCATCAGAAAAGACAAGTGCTCCGGCAAACCTCCCAAGCTGTGAGATGGACTGGTGCCACACTGTGATGGAGAATGTTGTTGAATGAAATTAGATCAGCTTCTGGACGTAGATGGGTGTACTGGCTGTGTGCTTGAATGCCAGAAAGAAGAAAGCAGAAGGAAGAAAGATTTGTCCTTGTGCTGTGGTAATATACCCAGTTCAGACCGTGTGGCCAGCTTGGGCTCCACGAGGTCAAACGCAAACGTCGAGCTTCGCTCAAAAAGACAATGGACTATGCGGATCCTAGCCCGCATCAATCGGGGCTAGGTTCCCGGCCGAGAGCCTATGGAACTCTCAGCCACTGTAAATAACCTATTGGGAAGTAGGGGGTGTTATGGGTGGCAGTTTCACGGGCAATATAAGCCGGCCTGCGAGCCGGCTAAAGTTGTCTTGTTCCTGATCTAATAAAGTACCCTAAGCGGAAATCACTCTCCGTCTGCGTACTTTTCAGCTGTAAAAGTGTAAGATAGTGTGCCCTTCAACAGAAGGTGAAATTTGTCCCCCAGGGAATGAGGGTTCTTTGCTGCTAGGGAGCAGAAGAAGGGGCACTTTGCATTGTGACATTTTTGGGTGACTCCAAAGCCTGAAAAAGTCAGATTTTTTCTGTGCAACACCAACTTGTAATGCTCCTTCTTGACCACTGAATCTGCCCAGATGTTTTCCACACCAGCCATATGAATAGCCTAGCCAACAATGATGCTGAATTGCCCATTTCCATGCTTGCATGGCTTCCACACACAGAATGCAAGACACTGTGCCACCTTGTTTGTTTATACAGAACATGGCTATTGTGTTGTCTGTCACAATTTGAACAACATGACCTTGAACAACAACTGCAAAAAAGCAAGAATATATTTAATACCTATGAGTTCCAAAAAGTTAATGTGTAAAATGCCCTCTTGAGGAGATCATGTAACACTAACTGATGAACATTCAGACTGGGCATCCGACCCCAATAATGAGGTTTCAGTGGTGACCATGATGTCAGGGAACCTGTAGACAAAACTCATGCCTTGAGACAAATTATCCAAAATGGTCTCCCTAGTCAGAGACCTTCACACTTTTCTGAGGATACTGAAGTGCTTCCTCCATGTACTGCAGCTTAAATGCTCTAACAGGGTCTGTAACTGGAGGGGGCCAGTGGCAAGAAACCAGTAGAAGCTGCAATCACCCCCCCCCCATAAACACTTACTTATCATGAGCAGATTGATGACACCTCAAAAAGGAAGAGGATAGGGTGATCAGATCACACAACCTAGACTCAGGTAAGAAGGCCTTACCATAGTGGCAGTCCAACACTGTGCAGGGACCAAGATTTATCTCAATTAACCATTAGGCCATGGCTCTCAAGAACTCCCAATGTTATCTTGGCATGTGAATTTAGAATGCTTGGGAGGGAACAACTAGCTTTCCAAATACGGGAAAACACTGCATCCAAGGACCTTCAGATGTGTGATCATGAACCAGTAGCTAGGCATCTGGTGAATACCCTAGGAGCTGTGGCAGGGCAGTGGAAGTGTTTATGACCACAAGTAAAACGGAGACACTGCCACAAAGCAGGGTCAAAAGAAATGTGGAAATATTCATCTTTGAGATCCAAAAAAGCAAATTACACCTTTATTTGTAATAGCAGCAAAACATCAGCCAAGGAACCATTCAAAACTTTTAAACTGTGAGGGAAATATTTAGGTTTCTAAGGTCCAAAACAGGGTGAGGCCAAGATACCTGGAATAAAAACCAGACCCTTGCTGTAAGAGCAGAACTGGCTCAATTGCGCCTTTAACAAGGTTTCAACTTCTTCCAGCAAGGATTGTGGCAGACACTGACAAGACTCCAGAGGGATGTAGATGGGTGGATAGAAAACAGCAAGGAATATCAGCACTTGACAATGAATAACATCCAACTATCCATGGTGAAGGAAGACCAGGCCAATAAAAAGTGGCATAGCCTATTAGTGCCCCATATTTCCTAAGGGAAGTAATCAATTGTAGTAGTCCTTCTGGTGAGGACAGTACCCATTGGGGGACTGAGATCTACCTTTAGGCCTTTGTTTGAAATAACTATCCTTATCATACCACTACTGGAAAGCGTACTGGGCTTGTAGGATGGAGCCTGTTGATACTGGCCCTGGGGACAATCAAAACCCTGCCTGTGGTATAATGACCTGTACCTGGGGTATTGTCTGGGTCTATAAGTAGGTGGAGAAAGAGAAATCAGACCAAGAGACCATGCAGTGCACCTGTTTGTCTGAATGTGCTCAAGAGCATTGTCTGTTTCTGTGCTAAAGAGGGTATCACCTTCAAAAGGACCATCTTCAAGCTTCCTTCTGGAGTGGTTGGGAGGGGCAGTTAACTGCAGCCAAGCATGTCACCTGAGTTCTATGGAGGAGACCATGCCCCCACCAGCAGAGCTTAATGGCTTCAGCCTACTGCATTTTAGCCACCATTTTCATCAGAGAGGGACTTCAAAAAGTATGACATCTGTCCCCATAGAAATAACTGATAGCAGCCCATAATGGACTTCTAGTTGGCTGTTCTGAGTGACAGATGGAGGAATACAATTTCTACCCAAACTATTCACTTTGTGGCCCTCCCTGTCTACAGGGGCTGAAGGATATGATGCCTTTTGCTTATGGTAGGGGTGGGTTTCCACAACCAGAGAACTAAACCTAGGGTGAGAGAAAAGAATTAAACCTTGAGTGAGAGAAAAGAAACATAGGACCATCCTTCTTAAACTTGTACATAAACGTGTACATAGACTCTACCTTCTAAGGTGGCAGGATTCTGCCATAGTTTGGCAGCAAGTGCAGCAGACTCTGCAGGCTTTAAGAACTAATAAAGACATGTTGATTTTGAGGGAATCAGCCACCCTTAATATCTGCTCCAAGTAGAGGTACAGGTCATCATTGTCTGAAATGGGACTGGGATCCCCTATTTTTCTGAGTTGGATCCAAACGAGAAGGTTGACATCAAGAAGATATTGATGGACCTGGTGGATGTGGTGGCCACAGTCTCTGCAGGCCTGTTTCCGCTTAAACTGTGAACATCAACTCACTTCAGCCAATTCTTCAGCAAAGCCCAAGAGAACAGGGGAACTCCTTCATGTTCACACATGTTAGAGCTGGAAAACAGCTCAACTTCAATCTCATCCTTGGACTGCAAAGTCACCTCCAAATCAATTGGATCATTGGGTAGGGTGGTATATAAGGAGAATGAGACGCCTCCAAGATAATGTGGTTTTGCTCTCTTGTTCCCAAGTTGGTTGACTTCGTTTGTTGAATAGTTGTTGGGAATGTTGTAATATTAATCAGTTAGAACTGAACTAAGAGAAACCTAAAGTTTTCGTTTTCTCTAAATCTAGGAAGCAATTTACCTGGAGGGTAGGTGACTGAGCTTGAACAAGTTAAACCTTTTAAGTACTTAGGCCTTCACTTTCAAGTCACTACATCTTGGGCCCATCAGCGAAAAGTGACAATTAACAACTCCAAGGTGAATATCAATGCGCTCTTACATTTTTATTTCTCTGACCAAGGGAATCAATATGTACCGGCTGTATTAAAAGTCTTTAATCTGAAAGTAAGGCTCCAATTACTTTACGGTGTCCCTATATGGATTGATGCAGTAAACAAGTCAATTGAACAGGCACATTTGTCCTTCTTACGGAAGATATTGGGCGTTCCATCTTGTGTCTCATATGCGACCCTATGTCTGGAATGTGGTCAAAACCTTATGACCACTAGGGTGTGGCTTATGACCTTTAAATACTGGCTTCGGCTGCATTATAACATTGACCGTTCCAGTTACAATTATCAGCTTTTAACAGAATCTGACTTTTCACCTTGGTTAGCTACCACAGAGAGTAAACTGGGAACCTTGAATACCCCCCTCGAACCTCTCCTTTTACTTTCAGAAACAGGCATTTCAAAAAATAAGGAACAGATTATTGGAGGTAGAGC